CACTCACTCACTCACTCACACACTCACTCACACACACACTCACTCACTCTCACACACACACACACACACACACTTACTCACTCACTCACTCACTCACACACTCACTCACACACTCACTCACACACTCACTCACTCACACACACACTCACTCACTCTCACACACACACACACACACACACTTACTCACTCACTCACTCACTCACTCACTCACTCACTCACTCACACACACACAGTCTTTTGTACTCTCAGAATCACAGTACAGAGAACACAGCAGATATTCTCCTTCATTCTTTCCAAAGTGAAACAGATTTGTGATATTTGCTGCTGTAGAGACACATTTCTGGTGGAGAACTAAACTACCCATAATCCTAAAGAGAATTTTATCAGAAGAGCTCAGAGGGGCCATTTAATCCCATAAGTCATTGCAAATGATGTAACTGAGTCTCAAATGACTGACAATACAGTACTGGCTTGACATAAATTAAGATTTTTTATGTTTCTGAAAGAAGACTCTTCTACTCAGCAGTGCTGCATTTATTAAAATAAAAAAATATAAAAATACAGTAAAAATTGTGAAATATTTTTATAATCTAAAACAGCTGTTTTCTATGTGAATATGTGTTAAAGTGTAATGTATTTCTGTGATGCGCAGCTGTATTTTCAGCATCATTACTCCAGTCTTCAGTGTCACATGATCTTCAGAAATCAGTATAATATGCTGATCTGCTGCTCGAGAAACATTTCTGATTATCATCAATGTTGAACACAGTTGTGCTGCACAATATTTTTGTGGAAACTGTGATGCATTTTATTTTTCAGGATTCACAGATGAACAGAGAGTTCAAAAGAACAGCATTTATTTGAAATAGAAATCTTCTGTAACATTAGAAATGTCTTTACTGGCACTTTTGAACAATTTAATGCATCCTTGATGAATGAAAGCAATAGTTTCTTTAGAAAAAAAATATATATAAAAAGTCTAATTAAAAAAGTTATAAAATAATAAATTGTTTTTAGTCTTATAATTGTTTACTTTAACTCAATAATTCAGTTACTTAATTTGCAAAGCATCATGGGACGAGTAGTTCATTGGCTCATTAATAATGTGAAGGACACAGTCATGCATGTTTATTTTCTTTTTATTGCATTAAATCATTTGTCACATTGTGATTCATCTGTAGCTGTTAGTTTAGCTCAGATCAGAACTGAATATACTGAAGAAATTCTGTGAAAAAAATGAACAGCAGAAATGCGTCTAGAGCAAAGGCTGCTGGGAAAGTGTCTGTTCACTGTTATACACACCTGTTCAGCTGCTGAGAAGGTGTGAGAGGCTAAAGCACTGTCTCTCTCTCTGTGTGTGTGTGTGTGTGTGTGTGAGTGTGTGTGTGCGTGTGTGTGTGTGTGTGTGAGTGTGTGTGTGTGTGTGTGTGTGAGTGACAGTGAGTGTGTGTGTGTGTGTGAGTGTGTGTGTGTGAGTGACAGTGAGTGTGTGTGTGTGTGTGAGTGTGTGTGTGTGAGTGACAGTGAGTGTGTGTGTGTGTGTGAGTGTGTGTGTGTGAGTGACAGTGAGTGTGTGTGTGTGTGTGAGTGTGTGTGTGTGAGTGACAGTGAGTGTGTGTGTGTGTGTGAGTGTGTGTGTGTGAGTGACAGTGAGTGTGTGTGTGTGTGTGAGTGTGTGTGTGTGAGTGACAGTGAGTGTGTGTGTGTGTGTGAGTGTGTGTGTGTGAGTGACAGTGAGTGTGTGTGTGTGTGTGTGTGTGTGTGTGTGTGAATGTCTGAAGGGCTGCTGCTTCTTGACTCTATAAAAAAGATGAGCGAATGTCAACTAAACACTCGTCACAAACTCGGGCCTGTGAACGTCTCGTCCAGCTAAACAACAGCACAAACCGCCAGAAGCTCATTATATAATTCATCCGCTCACAACAATAGGAGGCTGCCTTTCACCTCAAATTCACCCTCTTAAAGGGACAGTTCACTCGAACGTGTGCCGTCACTGACTGAAATAATGACAGAATTTTGATTTTCTGCTGAATTATTCTGTTTAATCACACATTCAGCCTGTTAAATATGAAACAAGCCAACAGAAGTGATCATATATGATACATGATGATGCTGCATCGCTTGGTTTATGAATGAACAGATTGTATCATCTGTGGATGAAAGCTCATGAAGGATTTGTATGTATGTGTGTGTACCTACTTAACCATATAGAAATGAACCTAACAAAATCTTTTTACCATTCGCAAAAATGGTATGAAAAATAAATAAATAAATTCATTAATTAATTTAATGAATTAGTTTATTTCTGCCGCAGGAAATAAAAATAAAAAGAACCTCTCGGTTACGTACGTAACCCTGGTTCCCTGATGGAGGGAACGGAGACGTTATGTCGTGACGACATAGGGGATTCACTTGGGAGCCCCAATCCTCTCTGACTTTAAGAGAAAACGCCAGTGAAATTTGGCTAGTGGATTTTGCATACCTGAGCCACTCCCCATGCATATGGGTATAAATAGGCGACAGGTGCATCCACTCTTCAGATTTTATTCTGAGGAGCCAAGAACTTGTCCCTGGCAACCAGCGATGGTTCCAGGTTGTGGCAAGGGGACATAACATCTCCGTTCCCTCCATCAGGGAACGAGGGTTACGTACGTAACCGGTCTCTATATCGTGACAACATAGGGGGTCCATGGAAAGCGCCACACTCTGAACACTCAACCCTTTAGCGCTGCAAATGTTGACAAGCAGCCGCATGTCAGACAAATGCTACACAAAGGTCATAACCTTCCCACCGCCCCAGCCCAAATTTGCTGACCTTGGCGCCCGAAGGGACCAAAAGGTGAGTACATCGCTGCTGGAGATAGCTAAGCCACTGTTCCTATGACAGAATTTTTTTTCTTAAGAGAAGGGATTTGAACCTTGATGAAAGGTGCTTCATGCCTTTCCTGTTTATTGTTTACAGCTTGACGCCTTCCGTGAAGTGAGCCTTCTGGAGAAGGGCGCTACGGAGACCACGTCCTACCCGTAGGGAGGTATCATGTGGAGACACTGATATGGACTGACCCAGGCCTGGGGCAGTACTACATATGGAATGGGTCTCTGAGGCAGGTCCTACCTGAGAGTAGGGAGGAACCACTGCCAGCAGAGCCTGACAGAATGGTCTGTCAAAGGGAAGACACAGGTTTACAGAGAGGGAAACCTTACAGTGGAAGAATGCACATATGGGATTGCCCAAAGGGAATCAAGCCATATGGACACCTAGCCCAGTAAAGGGGCTGACCGGAACCCCGGGCAAGCTAACACCGATACTGGGCCTGGCGTCAGAATGCTCCACCCAGTCTGATTTCCGGGGGTGCTGGAGAATACTCAACCAGGGTTCACCGACTGGGGAAATTACTGGGGGAGGAAAAGGCTCGCATCCCCGGATGAAGGAGAATTACGCAGCAAGCGTGACACCAGTCGGCTCTTCCCACCACTTATCTGTTACCCAACACATGGGACGAAACCAGCTCAACGCGGAAACTGTAAAATCTTGCGAAGGTGTTCGGTGTCGCCCAGCCCGCAGCTCTACAGATGTCTGCCAGAGAGGCGCCGTGTGCCAGCACTTAGGAGGAGGCGACACTCCATGTGGAGTGAGCCCTCACCCCCAGGGGGCACGGCTCGCCTTGGGATTGTTACGCCAAGGTGATGGCATCCACTGTCCAGCGGGCCAGCCTCTGCTTGGAAACAGCCTTCCCTTTCTGCTGACCTCTGTAGCAGACAAAGAGGTCCCTGTGATCGCACAACTGCTCTCGTGACTGGGCCATGATGAGCCAGTTGTCGTAAAGACACGGGGGGGACAGGGATACCCCGACGGGGGAGGACCCTGTACTGCCAAGCCCGACCCTCGAATGCAAACCATAGAAATGGCCTGTGTTGAGGAAGAATCGAGACATGAAAGTAAGCATCCTTCAGGTCGACCGCTGCAAACCAATCCTGGGGCTGGATGCATCTGATGATGCGCTTCTTGCTTCAACTTCTTGAACGGAAGCTTGTGAAGGGCCTGCAGATCCAGGATTGGCTGGATGGCACAGAAGGCATCGCGTCCTGGCTCATCACAGCAGGACTCCCTATATCCTCGGAGGGGACTGGCCAGAGATGCGTGGAGAATCTCTTGGGCGCTGGCAATAGGGGACGTCGTGGGCGAGAGTGAGGAGGCAGTCACTGTCAGCCCACATGCCTGATAGCACGGAGGGAAAGGAAACTGCTCTTTTTTCGAGAATGTGGGTACCGCTGGCTGTTGGACCAGTGGCGGAACAGAAAAAACACAAAACACAGGATTCTCCACCCGGCCCTCCTCCGGGGAAAGGAGTGGCACTGTCCTCACCATCTCCTGAGAAAGAGCAGCATTCCACATCTCCGGGTTGCCCGTGTCAGGGCCGCTTTGTCGTCTTTCTAGAGGACTTAGGGGCCGACTGGGACACGGGGGGCACCGCGGTCCTGCGAGAGGCTCGACGCGCTGGCCTTGATGCTGTCTCAGCACGGGGCGGAGGCGCTCTGGAAGACACAGGGGGACACCCTCGGCAACAGGCAGACTGAGGCAGGGCCCATGACAAAACGGTGGCAGACGGAGGATCACGTCGGGGCAGGATGGCGACAACACCCGAGGGTCACTGTGACCCTCAGATCTCCCAGAGCTCTTGCCGGCGGTCCCCTGCTCGTGACAGGGAAATCGGGACGAGTAGAAATGGAGGGTGCCGCTCTGTTCCCCGTGAGGAGAGCAAGGCGAGATCGCAGCGAAGCCATGCTCATACGCTCGCAATGAACGCATGAGTCATCCACGAACGCAGCTTCAGCGTGTTGGATGCCCAGACACTGAAGACAACGATCATGTCCATCAACAGAGGACAGGTAACGACTGCGACCAAGAGAACACAGACAGAACAGCATCTTAAAAAGACGCAAACCGACCGTGATTTGCTGTTTTAGGGAAAAACTGATCTTTGAGTTGAAGTGCCCAGGGGAATCGCTGATGGCAGGAACACCGCTGTTTGCACCGTAACGCCAACCAGGAACAGCTTCTTGCAGTCATATGAGTAAAGGGCTTTGTGGCGATCAAGCACTATCATCCACTCGGCTCCGAAGCAAAAAGCTGAAGAGTGGATGCACCTGTCTCCTCCGTATGCATGAGGAGTGGCTCAGGTATGCAAAATCCACTAGCCAAATTTCACTGGCGTTTTCTCTTAAAGTCAGAAAGGATTGGGGCTCCCAAGTGAACCCCCTGTGTCTTCACGACATAACTCGTAGTGACCGACACATAGGGAACTTTTTTTCTCACAATTCTGAGAATTCTAAATTTAGAGATCTAAACTTGGAATTGCGAGAAAAAAGTCAGAATTATGAGATGAAAAGTTTCATTGACTTAAAAAAAAATATTCCGTGGTGGAAACTGATTTCTGATTCTGAAAAAAAAGTCAGAATGGCTATATATAAACTAAAAAGTCGCTGCAATAAAAACTCGCTATTACATTTTTTTTAATCCTGTGCCAGAAACAGGCCTCCTTAGTATGTAAAAACAATAGAGGTCTATGCAGCACTCCCGTTTATATAGCTGAGTAAATGTGTGTGGGAGCCAAATGTCTTCATTTATGTAGAGAAATATCATGACAACCAATAAGTGAGGACATTTTATGTGTCCTTACTAGTTAAAAAAAAGCTCATAAGTCAGCCAAATCTGGTTTGTGTTTAAATCCAGTGTTCTGCACAGGTTTCTGTGAGGGTTTGTTTAGGGGTCAGATTAGGACATAGAAAATGTCATTAGCTTGATACGGAGTCTATGAGATGAGCTCAGTAGTGTGTGTGTGTGTGTGCAGGTGGAGGTGTGCTGCTGGTGGAAGCTCTGCTGTATGAGGATAACTGTGTGTGTGTGTGTGTGTGTGTGTGTGCAGGTGAAGGTGTGCTGCTGGTGGAAGCTCTGCTGTATGAGGATAACTGTGTGTGTGTGTGTGTGTGTGTGTGTGCAGGTGAAGGTGTGCTGCTGGTGGAAGCTCTGCTGTATGAGGATAACTGTGTGTGTGTGTGTGTGTGTGTGTGTGCAGGTGAAGGTGTGCTGCTGGTGGAAGCTCTGCTGTATGAGGATAACTGTGTGTGTGTGTGTGTGTGTGTGTGTGCAGGTGAAGGTGTGCTGCTGGTGGAAGCTCTGCTGTATGAGGATAACTGTGTGTGTGTGTGTGTGTGTGTGTGTGCAGGTGAAGGTGTGCTGCTGGTGGAAGCTCTGCTGTATGAGGATAACTGTGTGTGTGTGTGTGTGTGTGTGTGTGCAGGTGAAGGTGTGCTGCTGGTGGAAGCTCTGCTGTATGAGGATAACTGTGTGTGTGTGTGTGTGTGTGTGTGTGCAGGTGAAGGTGTGCTGCTGGTGGAAGCTCTGCTGTATGAGGATAACTGTGTGTGTGTGTGTGTGTGTGTGTGTGCAGGTGAAGGTGTGCTGCTGGTGGAAGCTCTGCTGTATGAGGATAACTGTGTGTGTGTGTGTGTGTGTGTGTGTGCAGGTGAAGGTGTGCTGCTGGTGGAAGCTCTGCTGTATGAGGATAACTGTGTGTGTGTGTGTGTGTGTGTGTGTGCAGGTGAAGGTGTGCTGCTGGTGGAAGCTCTGCTGTATGAGGATAACTGTGTGTGTGTGTGTGTGTGTGTGTGTGCAGGTGAAGGTGTGCTGCTGGTGGAAGCTCTGCTGTATGAGGATAACTGTGTGTGTGTGTGTGTGTGTGTGTGTGCAGGTGAAGGTGTGCTGCTGGTGGAAGCTCTGCTGTATGAGGATAACTGTGTGTGTGTGTGTGTGTGTGTGTGTGCAGGTGAAGGTGTGCTGCTGGTGGAAGCTCTGCTGTATGAGGATAACTGTGTGTGTGTGTGTGTGTGTGTGTGTGCAGGTGAAGGTGTGCTGCTGGTGGAAGCTCTGCTGTATGAGGATAACTGTGTGTGTGTGTGTGTGTGTGTGTGTGCAGGTGAAGGTGTGCTGCTGGTGGAAGCTCTGCTGTATGAGGATAACTGTGTGTGTGTGTGTGTGTGTGTGTGTGCAGGTGGAGGTGTGCTGCTGGTGGAAGCTCTGCTGTATGAGGATAACAGCGGTCCTCTGACGGCGCAGCTCTACTCTCTGAACATGCTGGTGCAGACGGAGGGTCGCGAGCGCAAGGCTTCAGATTTCAGTCGTCTGCTGAGCGCCGCCGGATTCACACACATCCAGATCCACAACACCGGCAAGATCTACGACGCCATCCTGGCCCTCAAATAAACACACACCGTGTGTCAGGAAGCTATAGACAAGGGCTTTTGTTGTTCAGAAATATTTTTCACATTTTTAATGACACCTCCATCTGTTTTCAGGTTTAACTGATGCATACCGTGTTTTAGCTGTTGTTCAGGTAGGAGAGCTTGGATCGAGCTTTTACTCTTCTGATTTACTTCTCAAATCTGCATAAAAATGATATATATTATTTAAAACGTTAAATAAAACAAAGAAGGATTACAAAGAGTACATTTTAAAAGGAAATACTATTTTCAAAATTTCATGTTTCATTTAATGCGTCACTTGCCATTTCTTTGTAAGTAATTGTGAAATTAACCAGCAATTTCTGAGCTTTGCAACCTCAATATCTCCTCCTGAATTTACCGCATTTTGAATCTCTCGAAAAAAATGTATTCAGACACCGTCAACATTTCTCACATTATCTCACAGTTTATTGGCTGTAGTTTAGAAAACGGTAATAAAACATGAGAAGAACTCAGAAGAACTTCATCTTGATAATGTCAGATAACTCTGATAGACAGCTATCTAATATCTGTCAGCTGTTACATTTAATACACAATTAGATAAAACCAATTTAGCTCAACTAATTAGCAAGCAGTGCTTCATTTAGTTCAGTCTGTGGAGTAAAAGATCACGTTAGCAATTAAAGAAAAACACTTCAGCAAAACATGCTCAGGTCAAAGTGTCTGAATCATTTCTGATCCGCTAGTCCACTGTATGAAGAGTTTATCCTCACTTATCATAAATAAACTATAATGTCCTGCACACACTAGTGAAAAAATATAAAAAATTATATCTGCTGTCTGAATAATATTTGGTTCGACTGTATTACAGGGGAAAAACCCAATAACATCGAATTACACACTTTTTTTAAAAATCTAAGATCATGATTTTTTTTTACTAATAGCATAGTATTACATGAATTGTTTATAAACATGATTTATTTAGCTTTAACTTGAATTTAGCATCTTAAATACTGAGACCTGAATTATTATGACCTGAATTCATTTATTTTAGTTACTGAAAGAACATTTGTTTGACAGATTTGAAAAAAGACGCTCTTATTTTTATATCTTCAGTTTATTTTTAGTTTAGTTTGTAGTAAATTTGTTATGCTTGTAACACTTTTTTAGTTCATATTCGATTGTTTGATTGATATTTTGTGTCAATACTTTGAACCAGGTTTTATTTGTATATTTTTAGTTTTCGTTTTAATTTTCGTAAAATTGTTAGTACATTTATGTTTTGTAACACTTTTTTAAAAGTTCTATTTATTTTTATTTTAGTTTTAGTTCATATTCGATTGTTTGACTGATATTTTGTGTCAATACTTTGAACCAGGTTTTATTTGCGTATTTTTAGTTTTCGTTTCATTTTAGTTTAATTTTTAGTACATTTGTTATGTTTTGTAACACTTTTTTTTAAAGTTCTATTTAGATTTCATTTATTTTTCTTGTAGTTTTAGTTCATATTGCGTTCATAGAGCGTTGTGAGAGCTGTAGTTGAATGATGGTCTCACATCTAAAACCTATAAATAAACAATACACTGCTTTAAATGTGTTTTAGTGAATTTGAAATAAATATTGTGCGTTAGCATGTACATGTTGTGTTCATTTAAATCCTGAAGTTCAATAGACTAAATTATTATTTATCAGTGAGCAGAAATATGCCACATGCCATTGTGCTGTATGTAAATATCATCCATATGTATATTTCACATCACTCTTTGTGAAGTGTAAAATTCATCAGAATTCATTGTTTGAGTGACCGACAGACAGACCTCATGTCCTTTAATCATGTGACGCTCTGCTCAGATGTTCAGGATCTCCAGATGCTCTTTGGAACAGCTCAAATCACACAGCTGAATATTTAATATTGACTTCTTTGAATATTCAGTTCATTTTTTGTACAGTATTCACTGGTAAGAGTCAGCACTGGAAACGTTGAATTAAAAGATGAATCTTCTAGTTGGCTCAGATATCAAGCAATGCTGATCATCTCAATATGGCCAAATGTTAGCTGATAAAAAAAAATATATATATATAATTTATTTGAACAAATAATGTTATTTCCGGTATTTTTTTTTTTTTAACATTTTTATTCATATTTCGAATTCACTTTATTTGTATGTTTTCAGTTGTCATTTTTATTATGTTTTTATATAATTTTCTATTTAGGTTTTATTTATTTAATTCCCTGTTAGAATTTTTACGGCTTAAATTAATTTCAGTTATTAAGATTTCAGCAAGGAGCCAAAACACTAACCGCTTATATAATACTTTTTACAATACCGTAAACTACAATCATTTTTTAAAATAATTTTTCTATATATAAATGATAAACTATACAATTTTACAGTTTGCATACATAGAAATACCAAACTACATAAATTTGCATGAATGTAGTAATTTTCTTAGTTGGCAACATTTCTAAATTTCACCAAATTTTTCTTCGAATATTTATATTTGATATTAATTTGGCTTTATTCATATATATATAATGACCTGTAAAATATTTAATGACAAAATATTAAAATAGTTATAATATATAGACGTATAAAATGAACAAAATAAATGATGTTTTATCATATTATATAACGTATAATATAGAAAACCCCAGATGAGTATCTGATTTGTTTGCAAGTGCTGAATCTCTCTCTGTAAACGTCTCGGAATCTTCTGAGATCTTCTTCTGTGTCTCTGTGGTTCAGGAGAGACTCTCGTAGCGTGCTTTGGGTCCAAAAGTTGATTTAATGCTTGTGCTCTTCTGCTTGAGCTCTGCATAAAGAGCCCATGACCCCGAATATCCCCAGCTCTGTTAGTGCAGACAGGCTGAAGCTCACTGCACACTCACTCACTCACTAGTGCACACTGCATACTGACCACTACTGTGTGAAACACCTTTGTTAAATTTACCCCGCATGATGCATTCAGTGAGTTTAATTCAAATGAATCTGCAGGTGATTTGTTCTTTCTCCTGCATTACATTTTCTCATGTTTATATTGAGAGGAATAGCTAACCACAATATGCTGTAAGAACATTATGAAAACCTTATTTCTGAATGTTCTACATGATTAATGTATTGACAATATTTCTTCTCAGTTATGTGAATGTTAGACAAACGGTCCATTTGATCATTTTGTTACAAAAATGTTACATTTGAATGCTCTCGCAACGTTTGAAACACTCAGGGTTTTTTTTACAGTGTAGATGTTTATTATTGGATGCGTGAATGTTACGGGAAAAAACTAAAACATTTGATCAGTTTGAAACGTTGAGTTTTTTTTAAATCTCAAAACATCTGTTTTTAAATGTATTAAGAATCCCATTTGATCATTTTGACAACATTACGAGAATGTTACATTTGAATGTTCTTTCAACATTAAAAACACCCATTTTTTTAATATTCAAAGAACGTTTTTTCTTGGTTTTACGAACATTAGAGGAACATTGCATTCATTTTAAACCATTATGACAATGTTATTTTTAATGTTTTTTAAACGTTAGAGGAACGTTCTGTTCTGTCATTTTGAGAACGTTACATCTGAATGTTCTCGCAATTTTAAAACACCCATTTTTTTGTATATTTAAAGAACATTTATTATTGGATTTGTGAAAGTTACAGACTTTTTAAAAATGATTTTGAAACTGTAATGAAAATGTCATTTCGGAATGTTTATTAAATGCTCAAAACATTCAGTTTTTCAAAATTGTATTTTATTTTATTATTATTATTTGGTTATGCGTACTTTAGAGGAACATTCTATTCTATAATTTGGAAAACGTTATGAGAACGTTACATCTGAATGTTCTCTCAACGTATAAGACCCTCTCAACCTTACAAGAACATGTATCAAATATTAATAATGTTATCAGAACATTCCATAAGCATTATTTTAGGAATGTTTTGTTTTAAGGAATTGCTCATCAACATCAAATGATCTGAGCTGCTCTTGCATTACATTTATAGCATTTGAGTCTTATTTTATGACAGCTATTCGCTCGTTTGGGTCTGTTTGTATTTCTTCTAGAGCTTCAGTGAGAAACATCTGAGATGACCTGCAGGATTGTCCTCGGGGTTTATTCTGAGTAAGTCACACACTTTAAGTTCTCTGGTATAAATGATTCAGAGTTTCTGTTACCTTGAACTTCCTGATCCGCGTGAAGCGGAGGAAACAGAGCAGGTGCGTGTGAATAAATGATTCGCTCTGAGCAGAGAAACACAGGTACAGTAGATGACGAGCTCTATTCATTCATCAGAAGAGCCACAACATAATTAGATCACGAATCAGAGCTCTGCTGCTTACAGCAATGCCTGCTGGGAATGAATCATCAATAATATTACACATAACAGGTCTCACATGTTGAGGTTGTATTTTAATTAGTTACTTTTGATAACATAAAAAAGTAACATTAGTTACTTTTTAAGGAAAGTAATGTGTTACATTACTTTTGCGTTACTTTTTAAATCTGGGCAAGGCTTGTTTGTTTGTTTTTAATATAAAAAAGTAATATTTCTGGCAAATGTAAAAGCCCCTTAACACCAAAAGTGAAGTGAATAAGCCTCAAGATCTGTGGATCTGTGGATTAGTCCCATAATTAAGCAACCATCACATCAGAAGAACATGATTTAGTGACTTTTCAGCTCAAACAATGAGCTATTTTCATGTAAGCACTATTGTTTTTGCACTATCGTGAGTTAATGTGTGTACTTGTGTAAACTCAGAGGTGTGTCTGAATGATTTCCTGCAGTTTCTGCCACTTAGATTGTGGTGCTGATGGTGGAAGATTCCTCTCGGAGTCAGCGCTTCAGGCTGTTTCCGATGATCCCACAGAGCGTGTCTATTGTGCTGATGTCTGATGGAGTGTCTCAGCTGTGGCTGGTGGACGCCTCGGGCGGATCGTGTCACAGGTCCAGACACGCCGACTGAAGCAGCTGAGACTCAGATCCACCTCCATCTGCAGAGTACAGCACTAGCTCATCAGAGACGTCAGTCTGCACTCTTTCATCCGCCATCAAACAGCTCCGCCAGCTTTATTCACCTATAAAAAACATTACTCGCACAAATCAGTGTTCTTCAGTCGTCTGTGGAGCACAAATGGAAATGCAAGCGCTAAATGTTAGAGGAATATTCCATTTGATCATTTTTGAAACGTTCTGAGAATGTTACATTTGAATGTTCTCAACAATTAAAACACCCATTTTTG